TTTAGACCAAGAAGGACGAAGACAATATGAAGTTGTAGTAAGAGAAAACGCTTTACGACATGAATCATTTATCATTTGATTCTGAACCAGTAATCCAAAAAAATTTTTAAACTTATACTTTCAGAAGTACTTCCAAGAGCTGCTGGTAAAATTCTTTTTAGGAGAGAATCCAAATGCAGTAAAAAAGTTATATCTAGCTATGCAAAGCAAAACGCTGGTTAAGAATGCGCGGTGACGTTGACAAAACAATTTATTCCTCCTTTTGTAACTTAAATTTGTCGCAAGAAAACCTCAGTTTGTGAGCAAAAATTAATTACTTGGAAGGCAAATTTCGCAGCAGTAGTCTGAAATTTCTTGTCGCTTGATTGCTCAGAATAATGCTGTGTGCAAAAACAATTACTGCCACAATGCTGCTCAGCAATAACATGTAATAAAAACTAATAAAAAAAGAAAAAGTATTTGTAAAATTAAATTTTACAGCATAAACTGACTTTATTTCATTAAAAGAAAGTAAATCATTTCAAAATAGATAAAAATTAAGTACAATTTAAATACACCTAATTGTAATCACTTGATACGTTTATCAGTTCAGGAAACATATGCTTGTTTTTTCTTCTTTAAGGTTTTTCCAATATTAACCTAGACATTTCTGAGCTTAATCTGTCGTTAATTTATCAGTAGTATTGGCATAAGCGTTAATAGACTGCAAAAATTTTGTTTATTGAAAATTTTGAGCGGTTAAAATTTATTATAGATCACGAGTGTATAGTCGTCTGAAGACGTCTCTAGACGCTTGAGTGAAAAAAAAAATTGAAGATTTAGCAACAAAATTCAGATCTGTGATGTTGGTACTTCACATTGCAATTTTGAGGCTTTTTTTTTGCTCAATACCGTAAAAAAACTGGAGGTTGTAAGTTGTAAGACGAAAAGTTCGGCTATTACCGGTCTGCAATATAATTTGCAGTAAAAAAATACAAAACTTCATGCATTTCGTGGTAAGGTAGTATGTTCTTTAGTTGTTTCATCTTTCTTACTCTGTGGTCTGCTTGGCACTTCAAACAGAGCAGTGCTGTTTATGTAATAGATGAGAGACTAGGTTGCGAATGTAATGCTATAGAAGTGTTGGACGGAGAAGGAAGTTGCTAAGGTTTTGTTTGTCGTATGAGTAGTAATTTTTTGATTTGCTTCTAGTATTCCTTGTGTGTCTTATGGTTATGAAACTAGGATATCAGTAACAGAACAATTTTCACCGTGCACATATTCAGCACAAAACCTTTATTCAGTTTCGCGTTCACAGGATTTCAGTCAAACGCTTTCAGCTTTATTCCAAATTAGTCATTATCTTTTCTCCGTCTTATATTCTACTGGAAATTTGTAAAATTCTGTGTTGACCGATAGAATGAAATTGCTTCTCACAAGTACAATGGTTTTGCCCTACTAAACCTTTCACCTTGTGCGGTAAATTTTTGCTTTTATGACATTGCGTAAACCTTGCAACTGGCTCCAATGTTTTGAAATCTTGGTTTCTACAATAATCTCTGTAGTAAATAGGTGGACGCCAAATATTCACTGGTATTCAGATGTGCAGGCAGTGTTGTGGACAGATCAGAGAGAACTATAAAGCAAAAGAAAAGAAATTCTTTTTGCATTTCCCTTTCTTTATTGTTTAATAGCTATTCACGGTGACTCTCCTAGTCGGTCTGTTACCAAAGTTTGCTGCCATGCGGGTCTCCAGTATTTAATAACAAGACGTTTGTTTTGAGATCGACAACATAACACACAAGTTAACCTCAAACTTGGGTAATTAGGCCATTTTATATAATATACAAGAAAAATATAAAAAACTGTGAGTCCTCAATACAGACAAAAGCAGTAACGAATTCAACATAAAGTAGAAAGATATCACTGCTTCATTGCTTCCGTTTTCGTGCGTGGACCATCTTATATAGTCTGTTCCAGCGGGTTTTCATCCTCTGTTATATTTTCTTTCTCGCTGGGTTCAACGCTGACAATATCGGGGAGGGATTCTCTTTTTTTGTGTCTTCCTAATAATCCTTACCAGCTGCACCCGGGGTGGTCGCTCAGTTTGGCTTGAAGTTCCCCCAGGTGCAGGCTTAAATAGTTGAGGAACACCCGGCTCCCCTGATTTTCCTTGTAATCCAACGCCTGCCGAGTGTCTCTCTTCGCTAAAGGAGTGGTGCCCAGTCCTTCGTCGTAGATGCTAAGCATCTGGGGGAAAAAGCGTATGAGGTTGGTCGTCACTTCAGCCTGCGTCTTCCTCGCATTGTGGAGCGCTAAGCTTTCTTCCATCTGGCGAAGCAAATTTGGTATTGTGTCGTAATTGACGGGGGGATCAACTGATGATGTTGGTGGTTTACCCCCCAGTAGTCGCTAGCGTGACAAGCACTAGAAGACATTACAACTAAGTATCGTTCTAAACTCAGTGCCTCTTTTATATCTGTTGGGAAAGACGGATCACCCTGGTCTTGAAATCTCAGCCTTGACTAGATAATCTTGGGGGGCTATTTCTTTGCCATTCGACTGCGGATCTCGTAAATCTCTTAACGATCAGGAATATAAGCAAAGGCCTTTTAAAATCCGCACATTAGGGTGGATGAGAATGGCATAAGAATTAACGAGCGGTAAACTGATAACAGCGAGGATGAAAACAAAGTCAAAATTAAAACGAGACAGTTCAATCTTCTTTCTACCAATTTTTTTTCTCAACAAAAAGAACATGTTGATATAATTTATTTATTATTTCATACTTTACTTTTGCTTTTTTTTTTAGAGTATGAAATCATTTTTTTTTTTGCAAAACAATACAATATTCTACGTTAGTTCTGATTGTTTTTTTTCTCTTTTTTTAATTTCTTTAAAATAAAAAAATAGTTAAACTTCTAATACTTTTGATTTCTTGCTCGCTAACAGCAGTAGAATGAGCAATCTGAGATAAATACTCAACTTTTATTTTTAATTGTTTGGCATTCTCTAATTCTAAGAGCAGCACCTATAAGCCAAAACCCTCAAGAACCTGCTGCTCGCGCTGCTGCATTGCTTAAAGGCCTTCTCCTGACTCCAACTATTACGCCAGTTTTCAAATCTTCGATCCTCTCATTCTCCGTAAAACCATCACTTATTCAAAGAATTTGATTTCTTTCTAATATACTCCCTAGAAGCTGCTTCAGCATACAACATACGAGCATCTGTTCTACTTTCCCATCTTCACCTTACGGCGACAACAACAGTGAGATGTGCAACCCGGTGAGAATTGCTCGTTTGT